GCGAGCTCGCACGCCATTGGTCCGCTTGAGTTCATAACGGTCGGCCTAATAAAGGCAGAGCTGTAAAGAAAACGGAATATTTCTCTCTCACATCTGTTGGAGTGCATTTGTGATACTTACCCCAAGTTCAACGTAAAACATGTCTGGCCGCGGCAAAGGTGGAAAAGCCAAGGGAAAGGCAAAGTCTCGTTCGAACAGAGCTGGCCTGCAATTCCCTGTTGGTCGTATTCATAGGCTTCTTCGTAAAGGAAATTACGCCGAGCGCGTCGGTGCTGGGGCACCTGTATACTTGGCGGCCGTTATGGAATACTTGGCGGCTGAAGTACTAGAATTGGCGGGAAATGCCGCTCGTGATAACAAGAAGACGAGAATTATTCCACGGCATCTTCAGCTCGCCATCCGTAATGATGAAGAATTGAATAAATTGCTTTCTGGTGTTACCATCGCTCAAGGTGGTGTCTTACCGAATATCCAAGCAGTCCTGTTGCCTAAGAAGACTGAAAAGAAGGCTTAATGATATACACGTCATTATAAATGGTCCTTTTTAGGGCCACAAAATATTTCATTACGAAGGAATTCTTTTGTGTTCATAATTCAATAGAATGCGTCTAATGTTTAATATTTTTTTCATCTTACCATGAAGCAATCAGTAAAAGTACATAATTTAGAAGAAACTTTTTACCATAAATTTTGCTACACATATTGTGAGTGAAACAGCTGAAGAAATTCTCTTGTTATGTAAAATGTGTTCGAAAATTATGTTCAAGCGGGCACGAGGTGATCCATTATAAAATGATATAAAAAGAAATATTTTTTCATATGACAATTCGTTCACGAAGAAGTCAACTTTGAAAGCTTGTCATATGTAGTTGAACTTGGCTAACTATCGATCGGATATAGCTAAACAATCAATAAGAGGTTATTCTACATATAAAAATGAGTCACAAATTACAAACAATTTTTTTGTCTAAGAACATTTTCAAGAAACTGAATGGCATACTTTATAATACCCTTAACTTTTTTTTATTTTTCTTTTTTTTTGGTAGACTATTTACAATCAATTCTCATTGAGAATCATAAGTAAATTCTTTTGACGTGATACTGTAACTTGGATTATAAGAGTTTATAGTATGTTTGATTCTAGTTAAATCTAATGTACCCTTAAGGCTGAAGTCGCAAATCATACCATTTTATTTTTCTAAGACTAATAGTACAATTACAGGAAATCAATTACAGGAAATTTAACCCTTAGAGTGCTATGGATGCTTATATGCGTCTGGCGAAAGCTATTAGCGAAAGGGCTAAGGACACATATATGCGTTTTCTGTAAGTGCCTGGCATGCACTAAGGACGCACATATGCGTTTGCCAATTTTTCTGAACACCTATGTAGAAGTAATACTATTACGTTTGTGTGAGATAAATATAAATGCATTCCTTATACGTAATGCATATATTTTATATCAAAAATCTACTGCTTCGAAACAAAAATTTAGTGAATTTCATTTATCGTTGATAAGAGACATTTTACGAAAATATTTCCAAGGTAGAAGCATGGTAGGAGGAGGAAAGAGAACGTCTGAGGATTTACCATTTCGTCTAATTGATAGGCATTTTCCATTAAAATGCCCTAATCGTGTCGGCACAACACAATTATCAAGAAGAAAATGTGTTGTTTGTGTGAAAAATAAGAGAAGGAGCGACACGCGATACGAATGCAGAAAATGCGATGTCGGATAATTGTTTCGTAATTGTTTGTATCGATAACTGTTCTGAAATTTTTCACACACAACTGAAACTTGTGTTATATTTACTAAATTTAGTTTTCTAGTTTATTGTTTTCTAGTTTATTACCCAAATTCTAGTTTATTGCAAATTTCAATGTTTATAATAAATAATTAATACTAAAAAATAAAGCTCTTGAATCATTTAATCTCGTGCAAAAGAATTACTATAACTTATTACGATTTGCGCTTTGAATAGTCAATCAACAGGGTTCAGTCTAGCGAAAAAGTATTCCGTCCACAGCGATCGTCAGGGCTGGTGTAACATCAGTCTCATCTCAACCATGAGATAGCGACCCCGAGCTTTGGACTCCTTTGGACACATCACCACCTTATCGTCATAGCCTACACAGAAGGCTATGGCACACCTTAGTCTACATCATAGATAAAGGCTTCGACTCCTGGCCTCCGACGCATCATCGGCTACACAGAAGCTATGACACACCTTAGTCCACATCATAGATAACACATCGACCCCCGACCTTCGGATACTTCTCCACACCATAACCTACACCTAGCTCCTCAACATCCTAAAACCAAAACGTATATAAACCGAGACTTCACCCAGCTCGGGCAGTTCTTGTTCCTCTTCTAGTTGCTGTACTCATACAACCCCTATTCTCCGGTTCGGTGTTATTTTGTAAGTGTTAACATTTATAATAAAGTTTTATAAAGGAAAATTAGTAGTTGGGTTACGACTCAGCCTTCTTACTACCACCCAAGTACCAACTTACGTGACACTGGACCGCATAGGCCGCGAGTATTCAGCATTCTAAGGGACACTGTAAACCTTTTCCTGTCTCCTTATAATACTTTAAAAGATTTCACTTTTCTTATTACGTTCGTATTTAAAAAATACGATTCTAAAGCATCTTCAGTTCAAGAACCGTTCGTGCTATCATTCGATAATCTAGTTTACTACATCGTTACCTATATGTTGGGTACATTCTCTATTTCATACTGTATATTTTAAAGCATGTCTTTGGCGTTTCTAGAAATTGTAAATTACGTCGAGAAAGGTAAAGAAAACAGCTTGAGATACAGTATATCATCTGAAAGTGAAGCTTAGGAACAGAAAATCGTAAAATCAGTCAATAATAAACTATGCACGAGAAGTATTCCAATTAGGAGATATTTATAGAATCTTAAGAAGGAACGGTAGTTAAAGTTGTGCGAAGCGAGATATAACTTTGTTTTCTGCAATTGTTAATAGAGCAAGCCTGCAAAAAATTCGTTGAAAATTAAACCTAACTGTTTTTTTTATTTTTTATTTTTTTTTTTTATTTATTTGTTGAAATTACAATCAATTCTCGCGTTGAGAATTTTCAGTAATTTTTCTGGCGTGGCGCAGTGACATGGCTGTTTATTTACAATAAGTTAATACTTATTATAGATAGGTATAATTTATAAGTATTATAAGTAAGTGCATAATT